CTACGACAACAGACGTGAAAAGTCTTCCAGATTTTCACAAATAGATTTTAGACGTCGGTTGTATAACCGACGTGGAAAGTGGTCGCCTATAAAGTCTCTTACTTACACGTCTGTTTGAAAACCGACGTTAAAGGGGCAATATAACCGACGTTATAGCCCCTTTGTGTAGTAGTGTCGAGTATTAAAAACTCTAGGTGGTTTAAGCTCTAGAAAACTTTTTGAGTTTCCTAACACTAACTAACTTAGTGATTATCTTTCTAAAATGACACCTATATCATCTTAAACATATCTTACTGAAATGGCTAAACCCTGCCTAATTTGCCTAACTTGTCTTCATAATCTGAATTACTGGCTAAAGTACCTTTTTTGTTAGTGGTGATTTAGCTTTTAGGAGCTAATACACCGAGTATATCTCTTTAGGTCATCTTAAGTCAAGTCTTTTTTAATCACTCATATAAAATTGTCATTTTTTACTCATCTTATAGTGAACTTAATCAGCTTGTATACTTCACATAGTAGTTGTAAATAGAAATCACTACCTCTTGATTTAAATAGATATTTTTGTATCTTCTGGTTTGATCAACGTTTCATGGTGGTTGCAGCTTGGAGCAATCTAGTAATGCAGATCTTTGTGTAACCTATATTAGAAAGACAAAAACCTTGAAGTTCCAAGTCAGGTGCAAAATCAAGCTCTGCCACATTTTCCTTATTCAAAATTTAAAGAGAACTCAAATATTGGATGTCTATACTAACATTTTCACCTTCTCATCAGGAAATATAGATTCAAATGATGTTGGTTATTGTAAATACTGAAAGCTTGAAACTCAATTGGCATATTTTATTAGAGCTGATAATTGAAACTCATTTATGTATGTACTTGTGAAATGTATGTCTATTTTGTGTCTATATGCATAGACACATCCCTGCATGTTTAAACTTCTTGTTGAGATTTCTTTTATGATTGCATTTACAAACCATTTAATACATGAATAGATCTAAGCCTAAAATAATCATTTTTTTTGTATAATGTTGACGACCTCTTTATCATAATTTTGGTTGTGTAAATGGGGCTGAAATAAAATGCCTTCATTGATCTACAGAAAAAATGACTTTTACTTTTGGACAGAAGCCTTCTATTTTGTTTTAATAGGTGACAAACTTTCAGCAAGGATTAGCTGTGGAGATTGGGGAGACCCATTCCGGACAGGTACTTGCTTATTTGTAAGATAGACATCTAGAAACTCTTTTTTATTAATAAAGTATATTCCGAACATATGCTAGTTGTTTAATTCCAATTCCCCTAAAGCAAATATACTTAAATGTTAATACATTTTTGTAAGGAATAATTGTGTTTAGATTTTGATGATGCTATATTAATTAGGACTTTAGAGTACCCCCTTTAGAAATTATGTATTAGAATTTTCCCTTGTAAAGTTCTTAGCATAATCGACTACCAGAAGGCCTCTCTACCAGAAGACCTCCGGACAGAAGATTTTGGTTCTCTGTCTAGGAACAGAAAACCTCAGGGTCTTTGTTACCCTTTAGCTTGACAGAAACCCTCTTGGTTCTCTGTAAGCTACTATCAACAGAAGTGCTCAAGACCTTCTCTGATCAGTTCTCTGCCAAAGACACCAGAAGGTCTGACACTTGGAAGAAATCCACAAAGCCGGGAAGTCAACTTAAAGATTCCTTCAACGGCTAGGAGTATGAAACGGAAAAGCTACAGTGCTCGCATTAAATGCTCATTTAATGCTCCCCATGCTCCGTGGAGTAATTGCAGATGATTGGCCGCAATGTCAGGATTACTTTATCCCAAAATAGTAACCCGCCAACTTTACCGGGTCCTACTGGTCAAGTGAACTGCTCGCGCATTAAATGCAGTTGTCCTCCTACTCCTCCAACGGGAAGACAACTTCAGTATAAAAAGATACACTACGAAGAACAACCGCAGAACTTTGCAACTTTTGCTACACATTGCTACTACTCCTCAAACAAGATATTCAAACTCTGAAAAAGCAAAAAGCCTCCTTGAGATTCAAACTCATTATCTTCTACAAGAGAAGGCAGAAGTTGGAAAAATACTTTTTCCAACTCAAGCAAAGTTCCAAGTGTTCTTCAACTCTTCAAGCTCATCACATATAAATCTTTTGTAACGAAGCTAGTTGGAGGAACCCCAGTTTCAACAGAAACTCTTCTTGCTACAAGAAGGACGTCCAAGTAACTGGAGTAGTGAAGTGGTGATACTTCAAGGAAACTCAGTGAAAGGACCAGTGTTAAAGGAAGCCAGGCAGTGCATCCTAGGACACATCTAGGCTTGAAGAAGACGTGGAGTGCTTCTTAAGTACTAGGACTAAGGCTTTGTAAACGGCAGTTTTTACAGCTTAGTGGAACAGTGGATTAGAGGAACGAGTTGTTCCTTGAACCACTATAAAAATCCCTGGTGTCGTTTACTTACTGCTTTAAATACTTGCACTTAGATAGAACTGCCTAACTCCTTGGACCTGGTATCTGTGTTCAGCAGAACTTGTTCTACGAGTTAACAGAAGGCCTACTGCCTTTACTTCTCTGAGGCTAACAGAACTCCCTACCAGAACCCCATCCGCTGCCAGTCTGTTCTTTCAACAGAACAGGCTATTCTGTAAATCTGGTACTTAGTTTAAAAAGCTAAAAACCAATACAGTCTATTCACCCCCCCCTCTAGACTGTATCCAGTATAACCGGGACCAACAATTTTAACAAACATAAGTAACTTTAATGTTTTCCTATATTTAAAGTTGGAAATTAACTAACTAATTTTTTTATCCTTACTGTGCACACATGAATCATCTATTAATGAAAGCAGCAATGAAGTATTGCTGTAATTTTTGTGATAATTCAGCACACTTAAATTATGTTTAGAAATGTTGTTTTTAGTATTCTATATCTCAAAATACATTCTCTGAGACACTATTTTCAAATAAACAATTTTCATTGTAACCAAAATATGCATTTTCAGAAGGGGAAAAACATGTTTTTAAAACCACAACACTACTTTCTCGAAGGTGCTTTTACAAAAATATTGGATGTTTGCTTTCAACTATATGTATGCATTCAAATGACATTGGTAAGCAAATGTAAACACTAACAACTTTAAACTTAAATGCCAATGTTGTTCACACCAAACAAATTATATGTATTTTCTTTCACATATGTGCTTATGTTTGTGTCTCACATATTGTGATGTATATATGTATTTGTGTTTGATTTTGTGTTTCTATTATGATTTGAATTACATAACATTGAATACATGAATGAATTGAACCAAAGCTCCAAACACTCTTATAGTGTAGATGATCGCTTCTTCTCAAGAAGCCTGGGCCCCTTTTTTCCTATTTTTCTAGAGCTGTACTGCCACAATGCCACTTGCTTTTCTTCTTTTAGTACTTTACGTTTCTATACTTTGCGGTTCTCATCAACTAAAGAATAGCTTCAACTGAATATTATTCTTGAATATTTATTTAAGTGTATGTATATTTATATATAGGGATGATTTTCTTGAATCGGGCTCAACAATTCAAGCAAAAGAGAAGAGGTAGAAGTATTGAGTGGTGTGTTCATTTGAAATTAGGTCCTTAGTACTGATAGGTAAAGCTTTACGATCCTTCCTAAGGGCGATTCACATGTCCCGACTCCCGAGGATAAGCTGGCAAGATTTGATGGGTTGGATATTTTTTTATTTTTTTTAGATGTTGATACACATGCCCAAACTCAAACAGGCCGGCAAGATATGATCGAGGTTTCTTTGCATATTTCTAAAGTGCTACGGTAGCTAAAGCTTCCTAATGTCCAATCACCATTTATTGCACTTTTTACTTTTTAACTTTTTACTATGCACATGTACGGATAGAGTTCTTTCATAGCTAACTTTATTTGTCATCACGTGTACCGAGATATGTTTCCTTTTGGATACTTTTTGAACTGAATTCTTTTTTCTTTAATTTATTGTTTTGAGATATCATTTTTTCCTTGTTAGTTTGCACTATTTGTTGATGGTGACTTTTCTAAGCGGGAATCCTGTTGAAAAAACAATACCAAAAACATTTTGCTTTTATATAATGATAGATTGTGCATGTGTTTCAAAAGTGAAAGAAAAAATCATGTTTTCAAAACCCACATAATTAATTTCTGGAATTAATGATACCTCAATATTCACACTTTTCAATTTGATTCCAGATCAAATTCAGTGTCAAGATTGACACTTTTAGGAATTCCCATTTTATTATCTTCCTTATTTTTGTCAAGGGCATTGGCTTATACATAAATGAACTTTTTATCTTCCGGTTTTGCATTAGCGGCATAATTCATGCAATTTGTGACTGCTAGGGCACTGAAATTGATTGAAATTGATTGAATCAAGTCATTCTGTTGAAATTTATGATGTTCTGACTCAAACGACTGAATCGGCTCATTTTGTTGATTTATGAAAAAATTATATTTATAATATATATTTTATTACGGAGTAATAAAATAAAGAAACAATTATATGAAAAATAGCTAAACAATCTTTTTCAATAATCTCAACCAATTCGGTTAGAAAAGCAACTTCAACATTACTTATTTTGATTATTATGTATTACGTAGTATTATACAATGATGACAACTATTGTACCCATGCCATTCAAAAATTGGGACATCGTACCTATCATTCACCTGATTGGTCCAAATCATTATATCATTTTTTAATTTATATTTAAATAATTAAACTACAATATTCTGAATGGTCCATGTGGACAAATGTATGATACTTTGAGGTACCATAAAATCCCCCTTATATAATTTAGCGCGTGAAATTAAAAGTTGAATTTTAGGTGAAAAAGATACATTTAAGGCCGATGTTTTTATTTGGAATGTTTCTAGTTCAGACCAGATCAAGCCAGACCAAACCAAACATGCATATCAATAAAACACACAAAGACCAGACATTTATCGATCACCAGAATTTCAAATCAAACCAGACCAAATGAGACCAGAAAATTTCAGTGTAATTAAACGCTTCCTAATTGTATCATTGAGTTTATTAATAACAGTGTACATATTATGAAATTGGGCATCTAATCAGCCCTTTAAATTTTGCAAACACATAATTTTGATTTGTTAAAGAAACAATCCAAATGATCAATCCATCCACTATATTACACAATTGTAAATGTTAGAAATGAGGGCTGCTAGATACGTAGTACTCCTGCTAAGAGAGTGTAACAATACTCATCCCTATATATGTTGCTTCATGTAGGTTTTGGTAAGCTGCCGCTTTTTGAGCCTCTACTGTCTACAACCCATCCAGACCTTTCGTACATCTTCACCGCTAACGATCTTCAAACAACCAACATCTTCAGATCTCCTCCATCCATGGTAAACTCCGGCCATCTCGATCCCAATACGTAGAAGACCGTGATCTCACAACATATTCCTCTAAACCCGTCTCCCTAAACTGTACTACTCGTGCCTCTCTGGAGTCCTTATATACCATTCAATTACAACCGTGTTAATCGTTGACCAAGGCCGGAAGGTGATATTTGATATGGGAAAGCGACTACGATCTCCTTGAAGCTTCTCAGAGAAAGGGTGTAATATTGTGTTTAAAGGTACAATCCATCCAAATCTACAATTTTGGGTTCATTTATTTGAATTTTAAACTAAAATTTTTAGTAATCTACTTTACGACTTGTACAAAGATGCATGTGAAATTTCCTATACGAAACCCTATCTGAAAGGCGTTGCTGCGAAACAAACCCTCGGGGCAATTATTTTTTTCACCCTTAATTCAAACCTCTAGTTTTTTTGTAACAATTATGTTTATTGTTTTTAATTTCCAAATTTTGAATTTAAATCTTTCAACTACTCCGTTCTATTTTAGACTTATTCATAAATAGTTTTTTAATATGACAAATATTTGATTTAATCATATGGTTAGAGTCCATACCATTAAATTATATATATGTTGTTATACCTCATGTTATAAACTATGGAGTATTATTTTCAAACGTGTATTTTAGATTGTTTTTCTAATATATTTTGTTAAGAAGATATTAGACCGTTGTATGAAGACATCAATTCTACATGTACCATACCTTCTATGAGTTTGTTTTAATAGAAGATTGACTTGTACGACCTACAAATACATTGTCTTAAAAATAATGCTCTAAAACTCTCACGACGCTTATATCCTATATCAAACCCCAGCTCTTTCATCTAAGAAAGGTAATTTTCTTACTAAATAACTTTTCTTAACAATGTAACACAAAATAAAAGTTAAATGATATTCCGAATGGTGAGGTTTTTAATTACACTTGTATTGGAGGCATGATATGAAATATAATACTCCATATGTAATATAATCTGTCTTAGGTAATCAATTACTAAAACCTCCATTGAAGGACAATGGTACATTTGACATTCTAAACAATGCCTTCAATGAAATTGCGCACCTAAAATGAGGTTCTCAATCAAAACTTAGAGAAGCTTTCTTTTGTGCTTCGAAACATGAACTCCAAAGGTCATATGAGTATTACGGATCACATTGTATTTGAATGCATCTTTTTGTGTCTAAAAAACTGATACTTTTACACATGACTTAGACATAGCAATTGTACTATTGGAGTATGTCTAACCTGAACCAACTACCTTATTTTTGTCCTACCCTTTTCAATTTCTGTAGGAAATTGAACTGATATCAATGTAGCATTTCCCTCTAACATGTAACCCCTTCAGGTTAACAAATACTCAAGCACACAATATTTGAGGTAAGAGCAATGCTTTCTAATTTAATACAAGAAATATATATTTAAGTAGTAAAATGGAAGTACATAAATACAATTTTACAAAGATCTCATGTTTGATCTTTTCTGCAGGTGTTCAAACTATACTAAATCTCTTACCTACACTTGCACAAAACAATCATATTGTTGATTACCTCACATCACTTATATTGATGTTGCCTTTAAAAATAGTCTCATTCTAATATGACATGTCTAAACTACTATGTGATAGAAATCGACGTTTACTTCAAACCGTTTCCTCAACCAAGCCAAGCTTTAGTATTTTTAAAATATGAACTCTATTAGCCAATCAACTGTGTGTGTCTATATAGGAATACAAAACATAGAATGCATATATAAACCCAAGCTCAAAGCACTCTGTTTTTTCGTAAATTTTTTATGTTCTTCATAAAAAAAATGTTGTGTATATGAAGTTGAAATGCAATCCCTTCATTGAATTAGTACATATAAAAATGAGAAGGAGATAAGTCTTAAATCTCTTTTTGCATGAACCACAAGTTTTCATTAGGGATTGGTTATGGAGAGACCATGCATCTACCTCTAGACTTTTATTCCATTCTCATCCACAAAAGAACGCCTTCTATCGAATATATAGTACTAACACTAACACACATGTACACATACATATATACCGGTGATATTTTTTCTTGCAAATTCAAAACATCAAGTGAAAGAGAAATAAAAGGTTGGAGTGGTGAAAAAATGAGGTTTCTAGTATTTATAGAAAAAAATGGACAAACCTTCCTAAAGAAGGTTCACCTGTCCCAAGGGACAGGCTGGCTGAATTAGTGAGCTGATATTTTTTTTTCTATTTTTCAGATTTAACACTACTTATTTTTTCTTGAGATACGTGTACGCATGCCTCAAGACAGGCTGACTGGATTTGATCCATACTGCTTTTATACTACTCCGTACACTGAAGATTCAAAAAGTCCCATCACCATTTACTCTTTCTACTGTTTAATGGTACCTGTATATGATAGAAACCATTCAGTTTTGTACTGTAGACCTGTAATTTCGGCTGAACTATTCAAATTTCATCATTAATTAATTCATCTTGTGCAATTTTACCCTTCACAGGGCTATTTATGCAATTTCACTTTATGGACTCTTGCCTTGAGAATATGGGCGGGAACACCATTGAAAAAACAGTGTTTTCATAGATTTTGCTTTTATATAATAGTAGATACTTTTTGGAATTGCGGTTTAGATTTGTGATGTGAAATACTTTTGTTGTAAAACGAATGTTTATTATTTTGTAAATAGGATATGTTTTGGTTTGAAAGATCATCTTTGTAAGTTTGGGTAGTGGAACAAAACAAAAATAATATTACAATTTTTGCTTTTTTTTCAATTTTTTACTGCAAAATAAATATTTAAAAAAATAATACTATTTTTTTGCTGTACAGAACCGCAACAAAAAGTCAAAAATGATTTTTTAAAATAGCTATTTGTTGCGGTTATTTTTAGCTATTTTGGCTGTGGTTCTGAACCGCATCAATAAGTCAAAATTCATTTTTTAAATAGTTATTCGGTGCGTTTCGGAACCGTAACAAATACTTTTTCTTGCTATTTGCTGCCCTGCCAATTGCTACGGTTCAGAACCGCAACAAATAGCTAAAAATAACAGCACCCAATAACTATTTTTCTAGTAGTATCTTTAATTGATGTACCGATTCTGAAATTAATGATATAAATAGACAATTTCTTCTAAAAAAAGATTTTCGTGTATTGCCAGTGAAGTGTGAACCATAGCACATTGTGTAGGGGCGTAGGGCAAGATGTTAGTTTAATTTAGCACATAAACAAATTTAGGTGAAATCATAGTGTGATCATTTTCAAATGCACTAGCATACAAATTCCACGAAAGAAAACTGTCATCAAAGTGATTGCCCAAACAACATGATGTACGTACAATAATGATAAAGGGAAAATAATACATTTGACTTCCCAATTATCCATCATATTTAAATCTCAAACTCGTGTTTCAGGTTTTCTAAATTTCACCTTCGAGTTGTCCGGATAATTATAAATGTCACTCCTGTCGTTATAAATTTCACCCCTGAGTTGTCCGAATAATTATAAATTTCACCCCGGAGTTGTCCGAATAATTATAACGGCAGGGGTGACATTCATAATTATTCGGACAACTCGGGGGTGAAATTTAGAAAACCTGAAACACGAGTTTAGGATTTCAATATGGTGGATAATTGAAGGGGTCAAATGTGCGATTTTCCCATGATACAACGAAGTTTTTCAGTTTTCATAAACTCAAAAAAGTTATACTTCCCTCTCCCACAAAACGTCACTGACTAATACATAAAATAAAGTAAAAATTGCGCAATTGAAATTTATGCAAAGTACACAAAAATGAAGTTAAACACTTGCTCTGTATTTCTTATTTGAGACGGAATTGACAATACATTTTAAGACGACTAAATACAGAAATTTGGTACAATTTCGTGAGACGACGAGAATATATACTACATCCATTCTTGAACAAATGCAATAGTCAACCTTTTGCGTTTGTCGATACACAACTTTGAATATTAATATATTTAATTTTCTATTATATATATATTTAAAAAAAATAGATTGTGAAAATTTAAAATTAGATAAATTTAATAACAATTTTTTAAAATAATTCGATAATACATTAATAAATAAAACCTAATCTAAATAGACAATGTGAATAACAAATTATTCAACATCTGGTATTTATTTATGAACTATTGCATTTTTTTATTAATGGGCATAGTAAACATCGAAACCTCAAGAGACTAGTTTGGAGGGGGCTTAAAATGAGATAGCATAGAAATGGTGGGGAAACCCCCAATCATAAGTGTGGACAAACATTATTTGTCTAGCAATGGTGCAGTGATTGGTGGCCCGGTTGCCTGGTTGGTGAGATGGTGACTCTATGTGTATCCTATTATTGCTCCAATTTTTTTTGAAAGTTCAATAATAAATACACATAAATTAAATATCCACTGAACCAATTCATATCAGATTTAAAGACCTCCTTATAGTAGCATATATAATAGTAATAATAACAATTATAATAATAAGAACAACTTTATATAATTTTGTTGCATAGATATAGAGATTGTGAAAAATTCATAATAAATAATACGGATTACTCCATAATATATAAAGATAATTCCCTATCTAGGACTAAACTAAGTTTTAATTGCACCAATAGGACTGACATATTCTCGAAATATGAAAATATAAAAATAAAAAAAAAATTGACAAATAACAAATCAGAGATGGAGGAGGAGGGAGAGGAGGAGATTCAACCATACCTGGTTGCCGTCCACCAGTGGCCACTCACCATTCGCCGCCGCTCGCCGTCCTCGCAGCTCACTGATGGCCGAAAATGAAGAGAAAATTCATGCTCATATCACTGAAAATCGACGAAGATGAAGAAAATCGAGATTGCTAGAATGAAATTAAAGGTATTATAGAAGAGAAGAAAAAATGGAGGCATGAGATTAGAAGTTGTGATGGCAGATGCAAGAAAATGGATGGGGAAGAAGATAAGGGATGGAGAAGTCTTATTTTGAAACTTTTCCAATAATTTAATACTCCGCACATACTAGAAAGCATCAAAGTTTATTCCAAAATTATTAGTGGCAAGCCGTGTTCTAATAGGTGGGGCCTAGGCGCGTAAAGAAATAAATGATTAAATTACCATTATTATTAGTCGTGAAAAATCAGTGTAGTGATGTAAACAAAAGCAGCCCAAAGCTTCATAAAGCTTTCAACCCCTCAGAGAAAATTCTAGCAAAAGATTCCATTTGTTCACAAGACAATGCCAAACCCACCTCCAGCCCACCTTCGTGATCCTTAGCCGCACCAACAGAAGTGGCTCCGGTTAGATCAATAGAAGGAATGTCAAACTTTTCAGGCTTCCCCCACCCGAAATCCAGCTCATAATAGTCAAACTTGGGCGACCCAGCCAGGCTCATACACACCCTCATCTTGGCCATAACCGCCAGCCAGTCACCGGCGCCTCTCAGCACTCCATCCTTATCATCATTGTATAATTGGCTACGAATTCCCTCCCCGATCGCCTCCGCCGCCTTCACAAAGCCTTCATCCTCCATTAGGCTTTTCGTGCTCGTGCTTCCCAAACATGGCACCACACAATTGCCGAAGTAGTTTGTAGGCAAGGGAGGGTCCAAACGCGCCCGGCAATTGGCCAGGCACAAAAAATTCTCCATTTCCTCTTCTTTGTCTTCCTTGTTTATCACATTTCTTGATCTAACTAGGCAACTCCATACATATGAACAAGTCACCGTGAATGACGAGACGTGTACTAGTTTGGGACTTCGAGCGAGTACGCGATTCTTAAGTCGTTGAATGTCGTCTCGTGTGACCACAAATGTAGACCGGACCTTGTCGGTGACAAGTGGAAGGCGATAGCCATTATGTGATTCCTCAATGTTGATGGTTTTCACCAAGTCCCAATAAACCTTTGCTAGTCCGGATCCTTTGGGATCTTTGAATAGTGTTCTGTCGTGAACCGGCAAATACCGAGATGGCAATGATAATGAAATCTTGCCCTTGTCGTCTTCACGGTGGCTAGAAAAGAAAGCCCAAGCCTTCATGAACTGGAAGATGCTACTCCCATCACCCGTTGTGTGGTGGTTGGTCACACCTATGCATATCCCGACATCGGGAAATAGCGTCACTTGTAATGCGAACAATGGGATTGCGAGTGAGCCATCCGGTGCTCGTGAACACGGGAGTAGTCTTGGAATTAGTGGGTTCAAATCCATTGAACTTCTTGCATCGTTTGACACTAGCTGGCTAAAATCGTTGGAGTTCGTTGAGTCAAACTCCGCGATGACCAACGGAATGGTGTCGCCCTCCACATAACGAATTTCCGGAATGCTTGTTTTGTCTGGTGAGACAATCACTCTACCTGCTAAGGGACTATAGTGTCGGAGAGTTTGGGATAAGGAATCTTTCATCCTAGGAATTAGAGAATCTACGAAGTCGGTTCTTGATATGGGGTGGTGATAAAATATGAGCCGATGCACCGGTGCCGTTACTAGCCATACCACGTCAATAAATGTTAGGGGAATGGATATTTCGGCGGTTGTTTCCGGCGGTGGAGAAACTGCAATTTGGTCCAATACGGTGACTGTTTGATGTATGGCCATGGGGATATGATATTCTTTTCAATATTGAGTGAGTGTCTATGTTTGTAATGGTCTTTAAATAATGCCGCATGGAGTACTTGGAGGAAGACCAATTATCTTTCATTCTATTGTTCAAAAAGGTGGAATCTCCCACCCTAGGAGCCCTCATCCTGACCTGACAGGATGGTGGGGAGGTTAGTCACGGTGACTCAGTCAGAAGAATAACAGTAGCCTATACACCCATGAGCATCAGAGGTTCAGCCTTATTTCAGGTTCTATGACCTCCACCCGATCGCTGCGGGATTCGAACCTTGATCCATTATTTCAAATCTCTCACCTCTGGATCAACAAAGCTACCGGTGCGGGTTCATCTTTCATTCTATTGTCACAGGTGACGTTACGTTAACTCGTTAAGTTGGAGCCTCATAATTTAGGGGTATATGATTAGATATTTACATCTCCGACTCTCAATCAAGTTGGTAGATGTCAACAATTCTTGACATTGAATAATGCTGTCCCAATTTCAAAGCGAAACGCGTGTTAACTTTATTGAATTCACATTGATGGTGGAATCTCCTACCCCATTAGCCCTACCCTAATCCGACAACAAAGTGACGGTAGATCTTATACACGTGCGCACCAGAGATCTAATTTTATTTCGGATTCTGTAACCTTCACACGGCTGCTGTGAGTTTCGAACATTGGTCACTTCGTCCAATTTTCCCACCACTCGACTAACTGAGCTACCTGTGCGGGTACTTTATTGAATTCACAATTTGTACCTGTGTGGGTCAAATAATTTCACATTCTACTCGGTAGTAATTAATACTCCGTACTAGTAAGATTATAAGAAAATGTGCGTTAGAAATAAAGTATGTGAATATATATTGTTATAATTGTATAAACACAAAAAATTAGTATAAGGTTTACCTTGAACAGAGAGAATATATAAGTATTCAAATCAAAGAAAACTTCTAGAAGAGTATTTGAATATGTTGTTTTTATTATTAAAATTAATGTGCTTTATATAAATAAGTCCTTATTACCCCAATATAATAATGGAAGCTCGGGACTGAGACCTATTCCCCATCACTTCGAGCTTGATCCCAATTTGGGGCCTTATTTTTCGATCTTGATCTGGCTCAAAAAACATGTAGTGTCAGCTCAATAGTGAGAGTGAGACCAAGTCCACCCCTAGTCCCAACTATTCCATATCGAGAACTACAGGTTACATAAACTGGGGGTATCAATTCCAGTCTCCCTCAAGAGCATTTTTATGGTCTCTCGATCGGTCACAAAACCAGATTAGTGGTTAAGTAGGATCAGGGCCAGACTAGTATTGGGTTCATCACCAACCTAACTACCCAAGTCTAGCCTAAAGAAGAATCACCACCCCCATCAAACACATACACCACACGTGCTTATTTTGGTTACCCAGCCACTATATCAATTCACATACTCGTCTTAAATAAAGTCCAGTGTTAACGTTGACTTCACATAAATTAATGAAATAAATTTAACTTTACTGTAGAGCAGGAGCGGATCTGGCTCTGGGCCAGGGAGGGCTTAGGCCCCACCTCAAAAAAATAAATTTACTAGTATATATATGTACTATACTATATGTAGTGTTTTTAAATAATGGTATAGGTACAAAGAAAGTCAAAATAAACGTATTTTCCGTGTTAGCTAGATGGAAGTGTACTGCCGTGCTGACCTGCATGTGCTTTGTTCGAATACCAGGTGCAACACATCTTTTTAATTTGAAATTGTGTAAACATTTCAGTTTTTTTTTTTACTTCTAAAAACTATGGTCTCACACTAGAAGAATATAAGGATTCTTCTTTCAAACATACGTAGTATAAATTTAAACTTGGTCTCCTAAGTTTAATTAATACGGAGTTCAAGTTTAACACCAATCTCAAACGGTGAATGAGCTAGATGCTAATATTGTGAACGTTCTTGGGCTTTTGAGTATTAGTCTGAACAATTAATTTGTTTAATTCATTGGGCTTGGTAGGTGAGTATTAGTTTAATACGTATGCATTTGAGGCGTTTTTGTATTCGGCAAAAATTCTTATTCCTGTTATATTTATTTTTGTCTTTGACATTTATGTTGCAAAAGATTTTATTTTATATTTGAAAATAAATTTTGATAAATAACACTCCTTCCATCCCTCATAACTTTGCTAACTTTCCTTTTTTTATTGTCCCAAAACCTTTGTCACTTTCCATTTTAATCAATCAATTTGTGTTTCCTATTATTTCTCTCTCATTTGTATAAATCTCTATCACACAGTTTTTACTTTATTATTCTGCGTGCCGGTCAAACTTGGCAAACATTTAAGGGATGGAGGGAGTACTATTTTACTACGTTTTGACATTTTTTTGCAATATACGTTGTTTAATCAAATTTTGGCCCCACCTGATTGACAATGTTAGATCTGCCCCTGCTGTAGAGTACACTGTTGTGACAATATTTGGCACTGTTTGACACGGTTTTGATGTAGATAATTTGTCAAATAAGGAAGGGAGAAGAAGTGTGAACTTTATTTTGGACTGACCCAAAAAGGAAAGTGTGAACTTTATTTGGGACCGGAGGGAATATATTTCTTCTGCCCTAAATTAATTTGCAAAGTCAATTTTTGTTCAATCGTTTCATTTAAATAATGTACTAAATTTTAATTATATTCTAGATGCGTCTAGGCGTAAATTATCTTTGTAATGGTCTTTAAGATCATCCACAATGGTGATGAGTTTTGACCCTCTCCTCTCTTTTCCACATCACTTCTCTCCAAAATCTATCACATTTTCTCCCCACTATGGTGACCTAGGCCACTTAAAATTTTTACGGTCTCTCCTTATTTTTGATATATCCCACCTTTATTAATTTATTTAATTTGAAAAAGGAATACAAAATCCACATTTGGCCCACTATAATTATTTATTGTGCATAAAAAAAGTGTTTTAAAAAAATTGTTACACCCATAATTCATATTTGACGCATAGTACTATTTTACGATTTATTTAATGATGGTCTTACATGTAATTATTTATATATTCTAATCGTTAAAAAAATTGTTGTGCAGAATGAGGAATTCTTTGGAATGGGGGGCTGTTGGTGTACTATCTAGGGGGAGAACGGTTTGGATCCATTTTCAGGGAGAAAAATATTCTAAAACAGATAAAACCAGATGCAAGAGGGAAAGAAGTAGTAAATTTCGAAATGACTAAACATATCCTTCGTTGGTGTCTATTTATAGACGGCAAAAAAAACTCCCCCCATTTTTTAAAACTTTGTCATCTTTCCTTTTTGGGACGTCCCAAAAAACTTTGCCACTTTCCTTTTTAATCAATTATTTTGTGGTTTCTGTTATTTCTCCCTCCTCTGCACAAACCTCAACCACACAGTTTTTACTTTATTATTCTCCGTGTCGGTCAACTTTGACAAAATTTTAAGGGACGGAGGTAGTATGATTCTTGGCTATATTTTTTTTATAAAATAAATTAATTAAATCATAAAATATTAAATTAAAGAGTTCGTGGGGTTTGTGGCTAGAAATTTGGGAGGAGAATCCTCTTGGCCGACACTCTCATTCATTTGCTCCACCGACTTGGCTAGATTAAATAAAATGTCAGATTCCATTTTTGACCCATCATCTTAATCCATCACATGGTGATCTTCCATAGTGAGGGTCAACCCCCACCACTTTTGTTTTTTAATCTAACTTGACCCTCCATTGTGCATGCTCTAAATAATGCCACATGGAGTACTTGGAGGAAGACCAATTGATCTTTCATTCTTTTGTCATAGGTGACGTTCCGTTAAGTTGGAGCCCCGTAATTTAGGGGTATATGATTAGACTAGTATGGTAGCGCGCATTGCGCATAATCTGTGCCCAACGCTGGAAAATAAGCAAAAAAGTTGTGTAAAAAACAATTTAAAACATAAAGAGGAAATAGTAATTCAATCATGTAGGTACACCATTGCATTGTTTAAAAATAAACAAAATGGAAAAGAGCCTTTTTGCAAACACTAATACCTAAATTCCATAGGAAGTCTGCAGTTCTTTCAAATTGACAAGCCCTGATTAAGAACCAAATACTATGCTGTTTGCAAACACCAATACCAAACATTTGATGGGCAGACTGCATTATTGAATAGTTGAAGAGTGAGTGATGAGAAAGGAAGCAGAATTGCTACACAGTATGTAGCCAAATATCAATCCAACCGTCATAAAGAGTGATGAGAAAGGAAGCAGAATTGCTACACAGAGTATGTAGCCAAATATCAGTGGGGGTGGATCGGTTCCGGTTCGGGCCCGATTCGGGCCTGGGCCCGGCCGGGCCTCGGTTCTATTTTTTTTTTGGCTTTTCCTAGTTAACCCCCAACCCTCCCCCTCACCCCCAAACCAACCCTAACCACCTCAAATGGCCCAAAATACCCAGCACAACCCAAAAACTTAAAAAAAAATTCAAAAAAAAAATTAATAAATTGGCCCGACCCGGGCCCGAACCGGTCGGGCCGGTTCACCTTTTGAAGGGCCCGAGCCTGAACCGCCATCCCACCGGGCCAGGTGGCCCAAACCGGGCAACCAACCGGTTCACCAGGCCGGTCCGGGCCCGCACAGTAGCGGGCCGGTCCGGGTCCGGGCCGGTTGGCCCGGCCCGTGTCCACTCCTAAATATCAGTCCAACCATGATAAACACAAACTATGCTAGGCAGAAGGAACTATCTAGCAAGCTTTCTATGAATGCATGTCAGGAACAAGTGATACATGAGATTTCAGGATGATTTCATGTAAGAGGAACAACACGCGCTTATGAAAATTAAGAAGTTTAGGCTTGATCATAAAGCAAGTTCGTATTGTATACGTTTGCAGGCATATGTAAAAGCAATATTTCCAATTCTATTAGATCGGCTTAGAAATAGGATTTATTGCTTTGTAACAGCCTGATGAAGTCAAAGCCATATACAGATAGCAGCAACAACAGGAGACGTTACCTTTCAAATAGAACACCCCAGCATCTGTCAGATTATCAACATAGGAAGTCTGCAGTTCCTTCAAATTGACAAGCCCTTATTGAGCAAGGCACAATAAAAAATTCAGCAAGAACAAACAGGTGCATCACCAACTGGTATTTGACCATTCTTGTTGAGGACGATAGATATACCTGCAAGAGATTTCATGTCTAAATTCAGGATGCATTTACAACCTCTAATGTTGAGATATTCAAGTGTGGTTAAAGCTGTCAAAGCAGCATGCCAGGGTTAAATGAAATGCCAAATGATCCATCAACCAAGAAAGATCTAGGTACTCATTCCACAAATACTTCTCATCTATTACACCGTGATGACAACAAATCAGATGAAGATGACTAAACATTCTAGCTTCTTAAGACACAAGACCTACACACAATAACATACCTTCAATATCAACGAGTCCTCCATGGACTCGAGGGCACCACTCTGTCTCCAGCTATACCAATTTGACTAAACTGGTAAGAAACCGCATTTGCTCAGCAGTGGCTGTCATGATGTTTTTTATACCCAAATATGTCAACTTGTGGAAGCCTGATCAGGACCAGCATTATAATATATTAATACCAACTTCTGTGACATCGCACTCGAACGTCCTTGAAATTCAAATTAAATTTCAAATCTTATGTATTGAATTTCCCTATTATCGAACAAATTGTAAAACGATTAAAGTTTTACGTAACGTGTGATTAATCATATTACTGTTTGGGCTCGTATAATAGTAATGGACTTCCAAATAATTAATTGGGCCACCTTATTGATATTGGGGCCCAACATTCCTTAAATAAGGATATATAACCCCTCGATACAAAGTAAGAACGGTT